TGAACTCTGGTGTATGGTTATACTGAACCCTGGTGTATGGTAATACTGAACCCTGGTGTATTGTAATACTGGACCCTGGTGTATGGTTATACTGAACCCTGGTGTATTGTAATACTGAACCCTGGTGTATTGTAATACTGAACCCTGGTGTATGGTGATACTGAACACTGGTGTATTGTAATACTGAACCCTGGTGTATGGTAATACTGAACCCTGGTGTATGGTTATACTGAACCCTGGTGTATGGTAATACTGAACCCTGGTGTATGGTTATACTGAACCCTGGTGTATGGTAATACTGAACACTGGTGTATTGTAATACTGAACACTGGTGTATGGTTATACTGAACCCTGATGTATGGTTATACTGAACCCTGGTGTATGGTGACACTGAACCCTGGTGTATGGTTATACTGAACCCTGGTGTATGGTAATACTGAACCCTGGTGTATGGTTATACTGAACCCTGGTGTATGGTAATACTGAACCCTGGTGTATGGTTATACTGAACACTGGTGTATGGTTATACTGAACCCTGGTGTATTGTAATACTGAACCCTGGTGTATTGTAATACTGAACCCTGGTGTATTGTAATACTGAACCCTGGTGTATTGTAATACTGAACCCTGGTGTATGGTAATACTGAACCCTGGTGTATGGTAATACTGAACCCTGGTATATGGTTATACTGAACCCTGGTGTATGGTCACTGGTGAAAGTATCAATGTTGTACTTATGTCACACAGAGCTTGCGAGCGTTATGTCGCCGTGTTGATGCCTCGAAACAACGTTTTCCTGTTTTATTTTACTTGCACATTTACGGCGGCATACGGGATCCCCATAAATACTCGAATAAGTGTCGTGCTTGTATTTATTTCCGAAGTCCCTATGACCCTATTCGAGTCGGACGTTGTTTGTTAGAAATATTGTTTCAAATTAAATTCGAATATTGTTTCAAACGTCTCACCTGGTCAGGAATGGGTGTTTATTCTAAGATTTACGGTTGGATATAAAGATAGGGTTCCTTCCGGGACATAACGTGAAACTTTGAATACACACCAGTAAGGGCCGAAAGTCATTTGCATTTCTAAGGCAGTAAGTCGGACAAATGTGGAATTGTGTTGTGTTTGATTGTTGTTTAACGCCGCAATCGGCACCATTCCAGCTGACTGACGGCGGCTCGTAAAACATCTGACTTGACCAGATAACCAAGTGATTGATATCATAAGCACCGATCCACGCCGTCGGGGTATGATGATACACAATCAACCAGACTGATTACCCAATCCACCCGGTCGCCTCTTGCGATAAGCATCTAACTCAGAATTCAACGAAGCTAGAATTCACTTGCGGTGCGTGACTCATATTTATTTAGAAATGTTGTATAAATATTAGACAAGAACCAAACCAAATCCCTATCCTATCCGGTAACATAAAAAAGATTGTTTGTGTTTCCAAGGTTACACGTGGAAGATATACGTTCAAATCTGAGTAGGGTTAATTCCGGAGTATAGCTCATAAAGCTGTTCAACATTAATTGTGAGAATGTGTGTCAAACAATGACCGAACAGGAGAATTTTGATGATATGTATTGTTGATGATATGTAATATTTTATATTTTGCTTTTCCCGCAAAGATTTGACATCATCTAAAAAAAATTAAGGTTCGTTTTCGGAATTGATTGACTGGTTCAATAATTTTCGAAAAACCTTGAATCAGGCAACTACGTAGATGATGCCTTTTGCTAATTCCGGAGTATAACATTTTCAGTTATTGAGCATCATTGGCAGTGATGTTACAGGAGGGTCGGGTTTGTTTCCGTTGCCAGACTATTACAACTTGCTGTATTTCGCTGGTATCAATTATTTAATACCTTTACAGATGTGAGAAATGGGCTTACGTTTAGACGTGAGAAGTTTTTGTTTCAAGAGCCTTCAAAACTTTCTGTATTGCTTTTGGACGATTAGCACAACTGACTGCCTTTTGAGTATACACCATACTGGTAAGGTAGCTTGTACTGTTTGGATGACTGTAACCAATTCACTTCACCTTCCCTTCCACCGATTTAGACGGCCTCTAATATGAAAGTCGAGTATCACTAACCTACCGAAGGGTACAACTTTATCCTATATGAAGAGAATTTGCTGTTCCAAAACTTTCTTACATCATACCGTTTTTCCTGATACGTTTTTTCCAGCTATTTGCTGTACCACACCCCTGGACACCAACTGTTCTCCCCTCCCCCCTCCTCTGTTTCTTCATGCATTTAACATTGGAATTCTGCACGGATTGACAAAATCGAAACAAGGGAATTTGGCCTTGAAGTTTAACTTTAGCTTCGGGTATATCGATGATCTAATGTCGTTCAAGAACGGTGAAATGGTCACTTTCCTCCCACTTATATTCCCACCTGAACTAGAAAAAAAGAGGCCGGTGAGCCGCCCCATCAATTTCATATATATATATCTTTGCATTAAGATTCAGAGAGACAAAACACTCTCCACAAGACTGTATGACAACAGAGATGACTTCATAAACACGTGGGGGCACGGGTGGCCCAGTCGTCTAAGGCGCATCGATTCGCTGTGCAGAGTTGCGTCCCTTGGGCACGCCAGAAACCTATGATTGTGGGTTCGAATCCCGGTTCGCCTTGATTATGTTTCTAGGTTTGTCAGCACCATACCCGTGCTCGTGGGTTTCACCGAAGTGGTAAACGTCTGAGACCTGCATCACTTCGGGCTTTCCTCCCACATTAAGCTGACACGCGGCGATATAACTGGAATATTGTTAAAAGCGGCGTTAAACCCTACTCACTCACTCACTCACTCACTCATAAACACGTGCTCATGATACAGTCGGAATCGTACAATCGGCTGTGCTGTTTTGCAGATATTTCTTATGCATATGGAAAGGGTTTTGTCACTTTTATTTTACTTTTCAAAAGTTAACTTTCCCTTTATGTCCAGAAATATTCCAGCAGCTCCAGCCCTTGGTGTCTACATTTCAAAATTCTTCAGGTACACACGAGCATGTGCTTACTCCGAAAATTTCAAAGAACGTCATAAGACGCAAGAGTAATTAATACAGAATGCCTGTCAGAAATGTGGTCAAATGTAACAAATCTGACACTTTCTTAGTAAAGTTCAAACTCTTGTACTTATTTTTGGTTGTGTCCCATCCGGGATTGGAACCCACACTCTCAGAGTGAGGCACCTAATCGTCAGGGACCTAACCCGCTCAGCCACCCAAAATGGAAGTCCGACAACTGGTTATCCATTTTAATGGAAGTCAAGGTGGGACTTAACCCTCAAGACATGAGGACATTTCACAATTGAAACCTTCCATGCGACTCAAGAAGAGCTAGCACGGTAGAGATTATATCGTGTTAAATGTGATAAGCGTCTGAAGATATCGCCCCATGGGATGGATATTGATATCACAGGCGATTCAATAACGTATTTCAAGTAGAACGGATGTCACCAGTTAGGTAATTATGCTTTTGTTGGCGTGTTTCTATAAGCTTCGCTGCCAAAGTCTACTGGCGGGAGTGCACGTATGATCCGCAGGATATATAGATACAAGGGGACAGGTATTGACCGGTAACCCTCACTGAATGTGGATATATAATACCAGCATGGTGTGTGGTAAAGGTTAGGCTGTTACTTAATACTTGTGAGGTCGATTATTGTTGCTCCTTTATATCCGTTAGAGTGAGTGAGTGAGTTGTGTTTGACGCCGCTTTTAGCAATATTCCAGCAATATCATGGTGGGGGACACCAGAAATGGGCTTTACACATTGTACCCATGTCGGGAATCGAACCCGGGTCTTCGGCGTGACGAGCGAACGCTCTAACCTCTAGGCTACCCGACCGCCCCTATACCCGTTAGATCAGAGAGACGTTACTGTATTCAGTTATAGGTGTTCAATTGTGATTTGAATATGCAGGTGAGGTGAGGTGACATGGGGTTAAACATCGCGTTCATGGTTATCTCACGCATATAGCGACGTGTGTGTGTGTGTGTGTGTGTGTGTGTGTGTGTGTGTGTCTGCTTGTACTTATGCCAAATTGTATACTGCTAGCCCACTGAGATACCATGCCGCAGTTTAACATGAATACTCAACTCAGACACAGTATACTGACTCCGAGCCGACCAGCCCCTTAATGCCGAGCGCCGGGCAGGGTAACAACAAGTACCATCTTTTAACGTCTTTTGTTGTATATATACTTGCATTGCCCAGTAGGATGAGATGAGATAGTAACATAGTAACATTCTAGGGCCCCATATGGCAGTACATATATATATATATTTTTATTTAAAAATGAGTCTGAATACTTTTTAAAGAAAAATGCCTTACATAAATTGAAATTTTTGTGGCAGACAGTTTCCATTTTCGGGGACAATTTAGTATACGTCGGATATATCTCATGAAGTCAATCGTTTCACCCAGGTAGCATTTTACATTTAGCTCAAATACACCATTCATAAATCTCAACTTCTTTTTATGGGTCGAATGGACACTCCGCCCAACCAGGCTTGTTGCACTTCCTACAAGAGTCGTGTCAGTGATTACATTAGGCACACCGTGTCACAGACGAAAGCTGGTTGAGACAATCAAAGCTGGTTGTGTTTTCTATATTCATGAGCATGAGCATTGCATTTGCATGAACATTAGTTGGAGGTCTAATCAGTTACATTACTCCACGACCGATTTAACAATGCACAACGTAGTCATGCATTATACATCATGATATTATTTAAGTAACCTTACTGACTGCAAATTTACGTAACAATGCGTATTTATGCAAGCGTGAATTCGGATATTGTTCGTCCCCGTATATATGTCTGCACACTTATGCTTAACTAGTAAACACCCAGCTTATGAATTATCACATAGCTTGACACATCGAAAAGGCGAGTTAAAACATAAATGCGTATGTTAACAAAAGCTATCCAGAGTGAGTCTAACATAATACCCATTCACACTTGACTACGTCGGAAGTGCTACTCGGACAGACATGTCCTATCTCCTCGCTTTATCTGACCCCCTTGCATACACACACAGACCTCCCCGGGGGTGGAAAATACAGATTTGTGCCTGTCAGAGTGAGGGTACAGACCATGGGCGTTTACCTAGGAAAGGCTAGTCTCATCGACCAAACAAGCAGGCACAGTTAAACTACAACGACAGACTTCGATTATCTGTAGTGTTGGCGGTATGGATTACGGCCTTGCCTTGCGTTAAAGGAACAGGTTATGTTCACCGGTGATTGTGGATAGCCTTTGTATACATTATAGAGGGACGCGCTTGTCGTGGCTTGAGGAAAGGACACTAGAAACATTATAGGTAACGTGTATGGGATATGTGTTGTGGAATCAGTACATTGAGACACTGGCTCTACGACAAGGTCATGTCCTGAGACCGTTTGAATTAATCTTGTGGTTGGTTGAAGCCATATGAACTGGTTTGTATACATACAGTTGGGTTTAACTGATCACAAGGATCTAACGTCACATGTTTAAGGAGCCTAACGGAGATAACACATGTGGACGTGCTTAGTTTTGTTTTACTGAGACATACACTGTGTTCACTGAAGATCAAACTGTAGATATACTGAAGATCAAACTGTAGATATACTGAAAGCAAGAGAATATGTGACATGCCCTTCCAAGAATGACTGCACACAACGGGAACAACTGAGAGTGTGCATTGTGATTTCAGGAAGCCTTTACCTATGAAAGAACCGCTCAAATATTTACAAAAAATCTGTTGGACGTTCCTCGGCGTGTCATTTGCCGCAGTATGGACATATGCTATAAACCCAGCGGATCGGGATAATCACATTATTCACCAAATTATTAAGCCAATCAATCAGCTCAGTAAGTCTGGTTACACAGACTAAACAAAGGCATCCAGTTCTTATCGTAATCCTGACTGTGTATCGACATTCTGATATTGGATCTCATCATAACCTGACCTGGAGGAAATGTGCTTAAGTTTCATATCCGACTGTGTGTCGTATTGTAATCGGAACGTGCAGCTAGGGCTTGTTTGGTAAACTGTATTAGTTCAAGAAATCGGGCGGAACATCAACGTAAACACAAAAGCATGGCGGTCATGGCATCTTTACTGCAGTAACTTCTAATGTTCACGGCAGTTGGATTCATACGGAGGTCCAGCATAACATGATTGATGCCTGACTGCCTGAAGATATGTCAAATGATCTTCATAGGTTCACAGTCGGGTATTAGATATACCACCCGAGTCATATCTATAATCAAACCAAAGGACTACCTCCAATCTATATTTATTGATCTTCCCTGTTTACTGCCCAATTCTAGCGTAAAATCGGCTCACGCGAAGTTTCAATAAAACAAATCAGGCGATTGACGGAGGTCGAAGCTTGTGGCTGTAACCAATAAGATTACCTTTGGAGCGCTGGAAGATTAACGGATTACTGTGAATATCCCTGACATGACATGCCGCCTAAAGCTGGAGACAAACTCCTGGGTCTGAGGAGGGAACGTACCCAACATGGCCAAAATGTTACAAGGTAATGATGCTTAACGAATACATGTTTATATTGAGGATTAGCATTATAAGATAATAATGTTTACTAATGTTCTTAGGAATAATGGGTTCCAAGTATCCCCTTGGTCGGTGGGGTAGAATGGTGGTTAAAGGGTTGCTTGTCATCCTGAAGACCCGGGTTCGATTCCCACCATGGTTACAACGTATGCACCCTATCCTTGGGGTCCTCCTATGTGGTATGACTGGGGTATTGCTCCAAAGTGGCGAACAGCTACACTTCCTGACTTAATCACTCACGCAGTATCCGTGTGGTTATAAAGATAGTTGAGATTGGGTGTTTACAGTGTGAGGCCTGGTATTAGTATATATATATATATATATATATATATATATATATATGTACGTGCCTACCAACAATGGTTTGTATTGTACAGAATTGATAAAAGTAATATATTGCTGTGAAACTGATGATGAGGTGAAATGGGGTTGAACGTCGCATTGAAGATTATTGCACCTATATGGCGACAGTGTGTGTGTGTGTGTGTGTGTGTGTGTGTGTGTGTGTGTGTGTGTGTGTGTGTGTGTGTGTGTGTGTGTGTGTGTGCTTGTACTAGTCCGGACAAAGGCCGCAATAATAGCCCAGTGGGATACCATTCCGCAGTTTCTAATGATGTAGTACAAATTAAATTAAATTCATACATTATACAAAAGAGGCGAGTGAGGTTTAATGGGGTTTAAAGCCGCATTCAAGATTATTGCACTTATATAGCGACGTGTATGTGCGTGTGCTTGTACTTCTCCGAACTGAGGTGTTTAAAATATTTTTAACGCATTGGTTGGATATAAATTCTAATATACTTCTAATATATATGAAAACTCTCGTATCCTGGATAATCTAGCTTATCTTAGAAATAGTGTTTTTAATCTTGTAGGCAGGCCTATTAAAATAGGTAGCTATATTAGTAGTGTACGTAGGTTCCTAACAAAGACACAATATCGGTGTTCCATAATTTCACATTGGTTTCATGTCTAGGTGATACATTTTCAGTGGACAATAAAGGGTATGTTCCGTTTTTGGACGCTGTCACATTATACACGATACAGACCCTGGAATATGTCTTTGTCACTGACGTGTACACAATGTCTGTGTTACTGATAACTCTAATGTTTAAACAATGTCATTATATGCACTCAGATGTCTCATATTACAACGTCAATATTAATGAAACGTTGTAGTGGTATACCGCTAACCTAATGAAATACCAGTTATACCCAGGAAACAGAAAACATATTGTGTTACACTTCGCCGCAGGCACAGCAGGCCCCTCAGTAAACCACTGTCATCCACAGAAAGACTTATCGACAGCCATGTTGGATATACTACTGTAAGTCTGACAAAGGAAGACCTGAAACAGTTGGTTCCTCTGTTGAACTGTAGATTTGTTTATTGCCCTAACATGCATAGGCAGTCATGTATAGTGGAGCTTTCAATCCTGTATGACACATTGTGGTTAGAATATTCTCCTTGTATTGACAATATGACAAGGGCTTGCAAATGGCAAATCAATAGAGAGAGGCAGTAATCACTAAGGCCCTTATCTCGTTTCATATTATATCTTGTTTCACAACCGCAACTGAAACAAATTTATTGATCCCCTAAAAAATACAAAACATTTAATGCATCGTTTAATGATTATTAGAATTATTAGACATTACATGCTAATACACCTGATCTGGTTTGATCTAAGATCAGTTTAGTAATAGTTATGCTTGTCCTGTATCATTTTATAATAGCAAATCTGATATGATACGAGTATCCAATGCGTTGACTTTGAAATAAATATGTGTTTATGTTCAGCATATTAACTATTCGAATATTATACTCCACTATATTCTATACTATATGACTTTCCCATTTTAATTTAAAATAACACTTTGCATTAAAAATTCGGATCTTATTCTTACTTTCGTATAGTCCAGTTTATCAGGTGTTGTTTGTATGCGGGGAATCTTTATAAACGAGGGTATGCTTCACATAAGCCAGGCTCACTGAAATCAACTTGCTACTGTTGAAAACAGGAATGTTTATTTAAACTGCAAAAAATTAATGATAGGTAAAATAGTCATAATTATCGACATAGTTGATCGTAATACAACATCGACTTACTCTGAGGTGATCGTAAACTTTATGAAAATCCTGACATAACACTTTACTCTCATGCTTTTCAGAGATAACATACTTGAAGGTAGAAATGTCAGTATCTAGTGTTTATCCCCAAATCATAGTGTATCTTCTCAAGGCAAGGGAGTTAACTGACTATAAATGTCCAGTTTCCACCCTTGCCGAACTGGACTGGAATTTCTGGGTTCGATCGTACCACCAACGGTGACTATAACGAGTTTCCCTTCTATGTCCCTCATATGGACCAATCACATTCCACCTCTCATATCACCTCATTTGCTTCGACCAAAATGGCGGCGACCATTCAAGACGATACTCAAGATCTATATTGTAATAAAACGGGTCTTACGTCGCGAAGTGCATCAAATAGCGTCAGCACCTTCATTAAAAACATGACAAGATTTGGAAAATATCTGTTGACGCCGAGTTGACGATACACGTGCTTTGCTAATCCTACAATCGACGGAAATCTGCATGGCAGTTTACGAACCGGATGTCGATTTCGTTACGCGATTTTGATTGGACTATGCATAGACTCAGCCAAAATATAACTCACTAATGTTTATTGTGAGTTAACTCCCTTGCCTAGGGAAGATGGAGGCCCCAGTTACGTTGTAAATGTGAGGGCATTCACACTGGTAGTCAGCATTGCAGTACTTTTAGGTTGAAATCTTTAAGTGTGCACACAATAAACATAACAATTAAACCAATGTGGTTTTGGGCGTATAGTTTAACGTTAAAACATATATATAAAATGTTTATATCTCATAAGAAAGGCACTTTGTAACATAAATAAATGTAATATATTTAATATATAACGTTACACCCATTTTACACCCAAAGTTGTTTTGTGATTTCATTTTTCCTTCGGTCTGGTGGTTAAAGCGTTCGCTCGCCATGTCGAAAGCCCGGGTTCGATTCCTCACATTGGTACAATGTTTGAAGCCCATTTCTGGTGTCCCCCGCCGTGATATTGCTGGACTATTGCTAAAAGCGGCGTTAAATCAAACTCACTCACTCACTCACTCGAATGTCCTTCCTGTACATTCCTACACAAACACCATTAATCATTGACAGGTCGACAGCTCCTTGATGTTTGTGAAACAGATATTTAGTCACCATTGTGGCAGGTATTCAATTGGTCCGTCTCGAGTGTAGCATGTCCGATCTTTGACCCCTTGGTGTCTAAAGTCAATACTGAATACCAGCTCTTCGCAGATATCAACAATGCGTCTCATAAAACCGTCCTTGTTAATAGATAACCAATTTTGATCTTTAACTGCTTAAACAGACACGTCGCTGTATTGACGAGAAAAATATTTCTAGCTCATCTAGTTAATCATTCCTTTAAGGTATTATCGAAAAAAGTAAATTGTCCCGGAAAATTTGTGGAAGAATTAATTATGCTTCAGACTGTTGGAAAAAAGGAATTGCCTGCCACAAAAATTACATTGTGGCAACGTTTTTTTCTTTAAAAATATTCAAGCTCATAGTTTTGAATAAACATATATATGTTTTTGTATTTGTTTTTGGTTGTTTGTTTTTCAACGCCGCACTCAGCAATATTCTTGCTATATAACGGAGGCCTGTTGACAATCGAGTCTGGACCAGGCAAGCCAGTGATTAATATCATAAGCTAAGACCAACGCCATTGGAGAATGACGACACGCAATCAACCAAGTTACCAAGCCGGACAACCAGATCCATGTAGTCGCGTCTTACGATCACCACCGAATGTTAGGACCAATACTAAACGGAATCATAAACATCATATATACAGGGGTTATCATAAATGCGTGGTTATCACATGACATCAGGTTATGCAACTGCTGCTAAAATCTCATTTAACCGGACCACTGTCTCAAACGGACTAAACAGCGTAGTCCGTTCAGACAGATTCCACATTATTGCATTTAGGTTAATGAATAGAATGAACACCTCTCAAAGGAAAGCTTGAATACTATGTGTAATGGTTGTGTTTATGAAGCTAAATATCCCCAGCCCTGGTATACTACCCGTGAAGATCCGGGGTAGAATTGGTCTTCAGCAACCCATGCTTGCCGTAAAGGCGACTATGCTTGTGGTAAGAGAACAGGTGGTCAGGCTCGCTGACTTGGTTGATGCATGTCATCGTATCCCAATTGCGTTAGATCGATGCTCATGATATCACTCATTGGATTGTCTGGTCCAGACTCGTTTATTTACAGACCGCCGTCATATAGCTGGATAATTGCTGAGTGCGGCGTTAAACAACAAACAACATCAACAACAACAGCAACTACTAACGTTGACAATAATCTGAAAGTATCACGTTTTGTAAAACAAACCAATCCTCCTCCAATTTCGCGATTTAAGCCCATCTCATATTACGTAACCATAATGTTAAACAAGCAATATGTCTTGTTACCATTGTTGTTTCTAAGATATTGCGTAATGACATATAGATTATGTCTAAACAATTTCTTTATAACATTTTTTGCGCAAAACATATTAACACCTTGATGTGTGTGGTATATCGAACTGCTTCTCTGTAGCAATCGATTATTATTGATTTCGCGGCTCAAGGCACAACCCGGCACAGCCAGATACAACATGTAGCTACTCATAAGGCAATAAACACAGCTTGATATCGACCTGGGAGTAAAACATAGCGCGTATGATTGATGTATTACATGTATAACCAGTTGGGGTATTACTCGACCAAAGCTTCTTGTATTTCGTTGCTGTTGAACAAAATTACCATTGTGAAAACACTGTTTTGTTTGCTCCCGGTATGTGTTGTTGGTCTTTTTTTTCATTAGGTTTTTCAGGTCTGTTTCTTTAATTAATGAAACGGTGTT